CGGCGGGAAGCTGCCCGCCTTTAGCTGCCGCGTCCCTCGGGGCGCCGGAGCCGCGCGGGCAGAAGTCTCGCCGCGACCGCTTTCGCCCTCCCTGCTGGGCGGGAAGCCTGGCCGAGTTGCCCCGTAGATGGGGCCGTAGCGTGCTCTTCGTGGTCGCTGGCTGCAACGTGGGACCCTGCTGGGTCCCGCTCTGCACGCAGCTGGTAAAGCGTGCGAGCTCGGTGGGCTTGGGTGCAGAAGGAAAAAACTTGTTTCAGTCTAAAACTGATTTTTTTTGGTCTTTATTTATTTCTCTAGACCTGAAACTTGGTAAAAAAGTTAATGAAGGTAAAACGAAAGAAGTGTACGAGCTGCCAGATATCCCGGGATGTGTTCTCATGCAGTCAAAGGACCAAATAACAGCGGGAAATGCAGCCAGGAAGGACCGAATGGAAGGGAAGGCTGCCATTTCCAATACAACAACTAGCTGTGTGTTTCAGTTGCTTCAAGAAGCTGGTAAGTATTTCAAAGGTAGAATTACGTGCCTGTGTATCACAGGTATTGTTACAAAACAGAATTGTTTCTATATATTGGTTTACCCTGCCTTGAAGCTCTGATGGGTTTTTTTTAGCGTCTAATAGTTTTTAGTTACACTTTCCCTCTGGTACTACAGAGCTGGGTGGGTGTTCGTCGGGAACCTGAGACTATCTGAAGTAATCTAATCGCAGATAGCACTGCGATAGTTTCTCCTGCTTGTTTGGACACACCCCTGATCCTCCCCTCTACTTCTGTCAGTGCTTCCCTACCCCCACGCCCCCTTGCCTGTAATGCCGGAGTGGATGCATCTCGCCTTTCTTAGCACATCTGCCTGCATAGAAGTCACTGCTAGCTAGTGGCACTACCGGACTGTCTAAGCTGTGTGGAATTTGTGTAAGAATGTTAAAAGATAAAATTAGAGCATTAGAGCATCTTTTTATATTTTTTTTTCTTCTCTTCTCTCAGTTGTGTGTGCTATATCAACGTACAGTTTCTGTACGCTTTGTACCTAAACACTTATGAGGACTATGTCGCAAATGCATATATCGGCCTGTATTGAATGTATCAGGAACTTAATGTGAACTTTAAAAGACTCAAAATATTTCTGATGCTAGAAGTAAGCTTTCATGGAATACGTAACTAGCTTGAGTCCCTCAAGTTTTGCACCACACTTCCAAAAATTGAGCCAGTGTCTTCACTTTGAGAAAGCATTTTGAAGTGTCTTTGAGGAGTGTGCAAGTTGTAAAGAGGAGTTTGCGCTGGTGGGTTTCTAACTTGAGTCTGCAAACAGTGCTATAACACAGGCACCAGGAAACTTCATTAACACCGCTTATAGCTGTGTGCTCGGTGCACTTTGAAGCATTTGCACAAAGATTGCTTCAAGTACCAGCTGAGTTACTCCTTGTAACTCTCAACAACAATAAAAGTTGTATTATCTGTTGTAAGGTGTAGTAATAGCTCTCAGTCAAACAGTAAAATCCTAGCATGCTTCACATGTGGGGAAGAGAAAGATAGTTTCTGTACAGTTGTATCTACCTATATTTCTGTGCAAGTAGTTCTTAAAATACGGGCTGAGACAAAGATACATCAAGTCATTCAGTATAACCTTCAGTTACTGCCTTTCTTGGGAAGTCTATTGTGCATACAGTACAAAGAAGCCTCCAAGGTCTTTCTGATTATATGTGCAGTTGATTAAAACTGCCAGTTTTCATTTAGGAACAATTAATGAGATGCTTTGCCTAATTCTTAAATGGCAATAGTTAAGATAACAATCAAAATATTTAATATCCTACAGATACGAACTTTAAATGTGAAGAAGCCATGCTGTAGACCTCTCAAAGATCCTTAAATGGCTTGTACTCAGTAACTTAAGGTGCTGTGGAAAAATATGCAGAGTAGAGTGTAGCTGCATTTTAAAGCAACAAAGGAACTTTCAGGGTTCTTCTCCGGTTTGCTTATTTGACTGGTGTAAATGGCAGATAATGTGAATGCCTTATCGTAGAAGTATTTTGCTTGCTTTGCGCAACTCTTCTTAACCTACTCTTTCAAAGGTGATGATTTACGAAGTTCTGTTAAAGTTTCTCTCCCTTTTATAATAGAGCTAATGTCAGCCCTTCAAAAGCACCCATCCGCACTGATGAAAAATGTAGTAGTAAACCATGTGGGGGCCTTAATGCCTGGATTTAGAAGTGACTTAATGTGCAGTTGATTATTTAAATCATTCTGCCCTTGAGCGCAAGGCAACAAAATCTGAAGAGTCAATGTTAATACCATATTTTAAGACTTCAATTCTTCCTTTATGGCTCTGGCAGTGGAATGGAATGGAGCTACTTCTTGGTTTGACTGGATGCAGCTCCTTTGTCTTATGTTTCTGGCAGATGCCAACTGAGCTTGGCAGTTGTCTTGCCCTGGGAGGAGAAAGGTGGGACTTTCCCCAAGAGTGAAATTGAAAAAAAGAGCCATTTAGCACTTACAGTGCCTATCTGCACGTGTTGGCTGTACCTGTTTAATATGGGGTCACCTTAGAATTATGTAAGAAGGTTGACTTGCTGCAGCAGGTTTGTGTGTGTGCATGGGCTTCTGAGTCTTAATGTCTTTTGCCTAACAAATCACTAAAATCTAGTGCCCTAAATAAATGTTAGTTTGTAATGAAAGGGAGGACTAAGTCATTCTCTTTCCTGCCCCATCCTCGTTTATTAAACAAAGTAGTAAAGACTACCATGTTCCCTGACTCTTTTGAAAGCCTTCAATTACTGTTATGTATAACGGATCTTCCACCACAGAGCATGGCTGGGTACTTGATGCTGCTAACTTTTGTTTAAAAACAAACCATTGTGAGGGATAGTTTTTTTTTTAAAGTTCTGTTAACAAAATTACTTGCAAGAATAGGATTTCTGACCAGAGCATAAGGTTCTGAGCTACAAGCGAGCGTTGTATGATAAAATTGGCAAAACTAATGACTTGTGGAAGATGACTATTGAGTGTCTTTTGCAAGGCCAGATTGGGCTTAAAATACCCGAAGAGTTTCAGTGTGTCCCTTAAGTCCAGAGAAGAACAAGATTCAGTTGTACTCAAAATTAAAGATGTTTGTGAGTCTTGTTTCAACTGTGGAGTGTGCCTAGTAATGGAACTAAGCTGCCATCTTTATATTTAGGAATCAAAACAGCTTTTGTCAGGAAACAGAGTGATACAGCATTCATAGCAGCTCACTGTGAAATGATCCCAATTGAATGGGTGTGCAGAAGAATTGCTACTGGCTCCTTCCTCAAAAGAAACCCTGGTGTCAAAGAAGGGTATAAGTTTTACCCACCCAAAATTGAGATGTTTTACAAGGTAAGTTTCCTTTCCTGTGATGTTAATCAAACAGAGCTAGAACTCTGTATTATCTCCTTTAAAATGCTGACAAACAAAGCAAGTAGCGCTAGTGGCTGACCAATCCTCTTACTGTATTGGTAGTTTTGCCAGCCTAAAGTTTTCTTGCATTCTTGTCCAACAGCTGTTTTGTCTGAAGTGCATATAATGTACTACTGGCTTACAGGGCCATCAAAGAATAACAAGCCAAACTGTACATAAAATAGAAAAATGTTTTATTTATAAGGTATAAGGATTTTTTAGGCATAAGCCTAACGCATCAGTTGAAACAGATGTATTGATGTTTTTGAAGAAATTAAAATAAACAGTACTCACATGGTGAGGCTAAGCAGCTAGCTAGTCACTTAGGATTATGAACTCCCTTGGGAATGCGTGCTGAAAGAAGTGTCTCCTGAACGATGACCTGAAGTGGTGGTTGCAGTGTACCCTGTCACTCCTGGGGCACTGTCCAAACTTGAAGTGCTTTTAAAGATGTTCAGGTGTTACAACAAGTGTTTTCAATGTTGCTGTCACTTTTTTTAGTGCTAATCATAAAATACTAGTTTGAAGCCTGTATCTGTTTTTTGAAAAAAACAAACAAAACCTAGCATTATCTTCTAATGGTTATTTTCCTTTTCTAGCAAGCTTAAATTACATGATGTATATGTTTTGGTTTTCTTAACAGGATGATGCTAATAATGATCCACAGTGGTCTGAGGAGCAGCTAATTGAAGCAAAATTCTGTTTTGCTGGACTTACTATTGGCCAGACTGAAGTGGATATTATGGCTCGTTCTACTCAAGCTATTTTTGAGATCCTAGAAAAATCATGGCAGCCCCAAAACTGCACTCTGGTAGACCTGAAGGTATAAGCATCTGATTTCTCACGATCCTGGTTCTGACAGGAAATATATCACTGTATAGTTCCTAAAATAGGATGCTTATTGTCTTTTTAGATTGAATTTGGTGTTAATATTCTGACAAAAGAAATTGTTCTTGCTGATGTTATTGATAATGATTCATGGAGACTGTGGCCATCAGGAGACAGAAGTCAGCAGAAGGACAAACAGGTAGTGTTTTAATCTTTACCTCTTAAGTCAGTTGGGAAGGAGAATGAAAAAAGTAAACCCTACAGTTAAACATCTGCTTTCAGAGTGGCTTTCTCTAGATAGTCTTATCTTGTTACAGAGTATTCATAGGGTACCTAATGTCCAATCCTGTTCTCATTAAATAGTTGATTATCATCTGGTTTATGGTAGGAAAAAAAAATCCTCTGCCTGTATGTCTTCAGTAGGAATGCCCAACAGCACTATTGACTGGAGCTATTGTAATGAAGCGTGGAGCTTCCAGGGGTAATAAAAATTTCTGACTTATGCAGATAATAAAATAGCTCAACAAATTGGTAGGAAGAATAGAAGCTTTGGTTCCCAGGTCTGCCTCCAAGTTTCTCTGTTTATTCAGAGTGGTATCCTCTACTAGTAGAGATCTGGTGATACATAAGAGGGATCTGCAGGGAGGATGCTTTTCTTCATTATTTATCTTGGTTAAGCTCGAATTCAATATTCGGTCGTCTCTAAGTGTTACTAACAGACTGTGTCCACATATGAGGGCTGCAAACATAGGTTTGAAATAAAACTTGTCCTATATTTAAACTTGTAGCAATTACACTTGTCAAATATCTCTGAATTACTAGATAAGTAGTTATGAAAGAACCGGTTTGGGCATGCTGCTGCCGTGGAGCTTCTGTGACAGTCATTGAGACTAGTAACAGAGACCCTATGAGAGAAAGTGGCTGTAAGCCACAGGGGAAGATTTCAAAGTGGGTTTGTCGGAGGAGGGGTATTACTTTTAAATTGAGAAGCAGAACTGCTCTGTTGTTTACTTTACCTGAATTACATACTGGCATGCTTGAGTGAATTGCTCTGACAGTGCTTTTGCTTGTCTCCCTAAAGTAAGGTACATGATAACATCATGCAGAACCTAGGTTGGCTAGTGCAGTGCTACTGCAGGCAATCATGTCGTTACAAATCCAATTTTAAAAAAGCTGTATGTTTTTCCTTAAACTTACCCTTTGGGAAGCTTCCAAAACCTTCATACCCTCATGGCTAAAAGCCTTTCATGTTGCAAATGGCCATGAATTGTAATGTAGAAGGTTGTTTACACCTACTGAGATGGTTCTTCATTAAATAGCTCTTCCTTGCTTCCATATCCACTCTCTCCTTTATCTGTACCAATCTCTGTTCTCCTTCCTGTGGAATTGTTAGAAACTGCATAAATATTTCAGTCGGGGTATTCTTATCAATTATGGTAGCAAAAATGAGTTCTTTGTGTAGCCAAAACACATTAACTTCAGTTTTGGGTTTTCTTCCTTTTTTCAGTCCTACCGGGACCTGAAAGAAGTGACTCCTGAAGCACTGCAAATGGTTAAGAGAAACTTCGAATGGGTTGCAGAAAGAGTGGAGGTATCTGTTTTTATGAACAGCATATCTAGACTTCAATAACCACGTCTTCAATCCTGTTGACTGCTTTTCTTTCCCTCGCCCCGCTTCACTCTTTTCCCTAGTTGCTTCTGAAAACAAAGAGCCAAGGCAGAGTTGTGGTGTTGATGGGATCTCCTTCTGACCTCAGTCACTGTGAAAAAATAAAAAAGGCATGCGCAGCCTTTGGAATTCCTTGTGAGTTAAGAGTGACCTCTGCTCACAAAGGGCCAGATGAAACCCTGAGGATCAAAGCAGAATATGAAGGTAAATGCCAAAGAACTACTGATTTGGATTGAAACAGTATCATGTTCAAGAATGACCTCGCAGCTTAAGGAGATTTGTGGGGTTTGGTGTGTGTGTTTTTTTTTTTTTTGTTAAACAGAACACCAAGCTGTTACGATGCTGTTGTATACTTGCTAATTACATAATGACAGGTTATAGACTGCACTAAGCAATTACAGAGTAATGTATTGTCCTGCTGCCTGGGCACAGCTTCCATTACTCAAAGTCTAACCCCTGCTTTTATCCCAGTACCAGAACTACTTTGCCCAAGCCTTGATCATGTTAATACACTTACTGTAGCATCTTGCTGGTGATGCTGCCCCTTCTGAAATGAGGAAGAGTGATAGTTTCTCTAGCTGACTCTGAATATTCTTATGTGTTGTTTACAAGGCAGATGTTGCTCCTATCATGTTTTCCTGCCTGTTTAACGAAAATACTCTTCCTTGTTATTTTAGATGCTGTGAGAAAAAGATTCTTGATTTAAATTCTAATCTTTACCAAGAAAACTTGACACCTCTTCAGAAGTGTATATAGCCTAGCAGAGGAGAGATAAGAACTATTTATTTTTGTGGGAGTATACTTTCTACTTGGTGAAACCACATCTGTGGTAACCATAGTTGAGAAACACGTTTTGAGGTGAACTGTGTAAAATTTAAGGAGAGGAACACTTAAAGATGCCAGAGGTTTAATGGTTATGTTCTCTACAAAGCTAAGCAGCACTTACTCCTCTGATACTGAGACTTCCCCTCAGAGACAGAGTAAGATATGCTAACTTCAGTTGTGGTAAACCAGTAGCTGGGATTTAAGGCTGCAAGATTCAGAAGATATTTCTGTAAAGTGGGAAAGTTTGGACACAAAACTCTCATGCTATGTAATGGAATTGACAAAATAACTGCAAACAGACTTAGAGTCTCGGATAAAGTTCCCACAAAAGCAAGTGGTAGAGAACAAGGTGGATTACTTATTTCTGAATGTCTTCTGCTCCCCCTCCTCCCCTCCCCCACAGGAGATGGAATCCCAACAGTGTTTGTTGCAGTAGCTGGCAGAAGCAACGGTTTGGGGCCAGTAATGTCTGGTAACACTGCTTACCCAGTTGTCAACTGTCCTCCACTCTCAGCTGACTGGGGTACTCAGGATGTGTGGTCCTCTCTCAGACTACCCAGTGGTAAGATGATCTTCAACTCATGTTCTTGTTCTGACCTACTCTATTTTTGTTGTTGTTCTGGTGTGTGCACGTATATGTTACGACACACACACACACACGGCAAAACACTGGAAAAGTAGCTGGATCGTCTAAAGACTGAGCAAAGTCTTTAGAAATATCTTGCATGCAGTCTTTGACTTCTTGATGGCAAAAAGACCAATAGACAGAGCAAAGATTGCATAGGAATAATCTTCAGAAAAATATAAACCTTGGCTTATCCTTGCTAAACATTCCAGTTTGAAATTGGAATTAGTATTAATGGGGATCTAAATAATTGAATTTCGTTGAGCTACAGAGCTGCATTTTCCTCATGATCAAAGATCAAAAAACATCTTTCTCCACAATCAGTGTAGGTATGAGCGTAACTCTATTACTTCAGCGCATTGCTACCTGTACGATTTAACTTTGTTAGTGACTTGAACGTGTGCTTGGCAACTAGGAGGCCCAGAAGTCTGTTACCTCTCTATAGGAGAGTCATTTGGAATGCTGGCTTTTGGTTTAAAATGCCATGAAGCAGTTATGTTAGAAGTAGTGGAACACATACTACTTCAGTAGCTTTAAATCTAGATCATGGGGTTCCTGGAGGCTGAAACAAACACTGTCTTAAATCGTTCTTTGGAGGCAGTGTTTTGTTTGACTATAAAATACACTTTGGTAAGTGGCGCTCTCTTCTCTGCAGGTCTTGGCTGCCCTACTACTCTGTCACCTGAAGGAGCTGCCCAGTTTGCTGCCCAGATATTTGGGTTAAACAACCATTTGGTGTGGGCCAAACTGCGATCAAACATGTTAAACACCTGGATCTCCTTGAAGCAGGCTGACAAAAAACTTCGAGAGTGCACCTTGTAAGTCATACTAACAAGTAACTATTATTACTTATGCAAAGATAATGGCGTGCATATCCATTCATATTAGAATTTACATTTGGATGAGCTCAAGTGTCCTGCATCCTTTCTTACAGAAGAAAGCATTGTTAGAGCAGCAGATGAAGTCTGTGTCCTCATCCTTCCCATGTGTATTTTTTTTTTAAATACAACAACTTAGTAAAAGATGGGGAAGTAGTATTTTAGTATCTCTTTCTGTTGCTCCAAAATGGTGCTGTTCTGCTTTTTAGTGATACTGTTAACTACAGACTATGTCAAGAGAATGATTTGGTGCGATCTAAATAGGAGTCAACTAGTCTTCTGTATTTCTGTAACAGTAATATTCTTCCATAGTAATAATATGTCTTGAACCTTATTAACTCAACTGGACTGCTAACTAAAGCCAGTGCTGATGCTGTTCTGCTTGCAACGATGGTACGCTTTCTTTAGCAATAAAATGGCAACATATGCTGTATTAATAGGAAAAGGGGCTGGAAAAACGTTTTAAGAGCCTGAAATAAATACCTGCCTTACTTAAATGTATATACATACATGTATTTTTTTTTAATGTGTGTGTATACGTACCCCATTGATATCTTCTGGAATGATGTGATTGCCGATTCTCTTGTTCATAACAAGCTATAAATACAAATGGTTTGAGTGAACTGTAACTAGGCTTGTTGCCTGTTTGCTGTAACTCTTGCCTGGTCCAGTTTTTGCCCTTTTAAATACTAGGCAGATGTCTCCCTTCAGTAGTTCTAAAGGGCCTATGTGATGTTGTCAAACTGTCGTCGTACACTTCAATAACTCTACCTATTATATATCTATATTTCCTCACTCTGTTTCTATGGAAATTTTACTGAACTGAAGGGGGGAATAAATAGTAAAGCAACAAACTACTGGGGGGAAATCTAAGCATGACTGTCTTGTCTTTGCACACACCAATCTTCTGAGTAGGTACGATTCTAACAAATATGCAATTACTCAATGTATGTAACACTTATGCTTTTACAATTATAAATAAACTATTGAATTCGAAGCTTCTTAATGGAGACTTATTGAATAAATACACACAAAAACTAGCCATCAGCTGTGGTACATAACTTCAGGACCTTAAGTTAGGTAATACCCTTGTAAAAAGCTTCTGCACTAAAACCTGCCTAGAATGGTGTTAGGTGGCAGTCTTCTGGAAGATACTCTACTGCTTAAGTGTCTCTCTGTTACAGGAAGCTGTGTTGCTTTGTTCCTAATGTACTGCTTTATGATTGTGTGGTAGGTCAGGCTTAGCCCATAGTGCGAGCACCTGGATTAAATGCTGCTGGCTGGCCTTCTCCTTCACAGGAAGGGACTGCGTCTTATGTGTCATTGTATAGAAGAGCTCTAAACAGTGCTCTCTTCTGGAGTTAAGTGCAGGGGTTTTTTTTAATTGGTCAAAGCTTACACTACAGCAAAATAACTAGAACTTTTTTCTTAGTCTTGAGGGCGGTTACTTTTCTAATTAATTTCTAAAGGAAATCTCGATAATAGTGAGGGCTAGTGATGACAAAGAGGTTGAAATTCCTTGGTGGCATACCATCTCTGTGGAAGCACTGACTTAAAAGTGAAGATCCTCAAGACAGTGTTTTTTAGCAAGCAAGCTATTTACCAGGGTTGTACTCACCTGCATGCTTATGCTAGCACCTCTGAAAGCCTGCTGTCAGCTAGCTCTCCTAACAAGATAGCAGTATTAACTTCAACTAGCAGAAAAATTAATGGGCAAAAAGAGATGAGTGCGTGCTTTTTGTTTGCTTGGGTGAGTGAATGGGTTCATCTTATCTTCTTGATAAGATGAGCCAAGATGTTGGCTCATCATCTTACACAGCCAACAACTGTAAAGGAGAGTGCAGCGCTTCTTTCTCCTGGTGGCAGTAGTCTGCTAGCTCAGACTGTGTTATGTATAACAATACATAACCTGAGGGTGAAGTTACACAAGAGGTGAAGGTGTCGTTTCCTATTCTTCCCCTGGGTGTTAGCTGGTGTTAGCTCTGATGGGTGATCAACCTGACAAGCTTATTAGTCACCTGACTACCCCAGCACCATGGTGAGACGGGCAACTGCAGCCAGCCATCTGTCTCTTTTTCTACCCACATCGCTATGTTGTATTGCTGTCTCTGTACAATCTTCCCCCGCGCAATAAAAATTAGTAACAGACAATGGTTTGAGTGTTACAACACCTGGAATATCCTGTATTGTCTCCAGTTACTTTTCTCAAATTACTTGCACCCTGATTATACTAACTTCATGTGTAAAATTGTGCCAGTTTACGCTGGGCAGGAGCATGCTAAGTGCTTTAGTTGCCATAGGGATGGCAATTCTTCAGCTTCTGTATGGGCTGGGTTGTTTGGCATTTTTTTTTTGTGCAGTCTGTACTGAACTCTCAGAAGCAAACCCTTGCTTGAGCAGTTGCCTTGCAAAGAAGTACAAAGAAAGACGCAGCTGCTAGCATTAACACTGTTGCTGTGATGAGCAGATGAAACCTGCAGAGTCTATGATATCTGCAAGGACTTTACATAGTCATCCTAAAGGCTGAAGTGCTGTATATCAGCCATTTAGCTGGAAGTTCTTCACAAAGCTTTTGCTATAAAACAAACATACTTCCCCTTGGTTCAGCATTCCAACTGTTACATTGATGCAATAACCTGAGAATTTCTTCAGGCAGAAATTGATCTTGTAGCACTTGCTCTTTTGTCCAATTTTAAAAACTGTCCCAAAAAATTCTTAAATAAAAAGTGCTTTTATCTTCACAAAAACTATTACATAGAGGGGTTACTTAAATTTATTTGCATTTTTAAAATTGAGTTGGAATACCTGTAATGAAAATCTAATCTTTAAGCACCTGCTGTGGAACCTAGGACCCTGGATTAGATCATGTCCTAATTAGCAGTCACACTTCCCTGTTCAGAACTTCCAAAAGCTTACACATGCTCGATTTCTGGGCTCAGACAAAAATAAGGTATAAAGGTTGTTTGAACAATCAAGACTTCTTTCAAGGTATGTACATGAGGAGAACTTTAAAGTTTCATAGAGGGTTGATTTAAAAAAAAAAGCAAAACCAAAAACCACAAACCCTGAATTTCCCGCGGAGCTTAAGTACCTCTAGAATGCGGTTGCAGTCCCAGTTCCCAAATCCCTATTCCATTTCAGATCTAAGTGTGTGCATTCAAAACTCCTCAGAGTTGCTGCACAACAGCTGCTTGAGCGAGAGGGACCTCAAGCCACTTCAGCATCTGCTGTTGTGCTTTTGCAGAAGCATTTTAGATCCTGACAGGGCAGAACAGCCTCTTACTCATCGAAGCCTCATCAGGATACACAAAATCGGTGTTCCAGCCAGGGTCTCAAAGCATACCTATTCACTCAAAACATAATATGCACTCTACAGGTTAGAACAGTCACCCAGGTTATAAGCAATTTAATCCCCTCTCTACTGGGGGAAAGGGACAAAACTTAACTTTTCCCTTACTCCTTGAAAGAGTACTTTAACCACCACAGGGATGCAGAGACCTGTAGGAAGGGAACATCTTAATTTCCCCTTCCCCCGCCCGCACTGTTTCAATTTGTTTCCTTCAATAACTGCAACAGGGGTTGGACCACAGCAATGCTGCAGCTGCCTCTATAGAGCTTTGGGTTTCTGCCTCAGGAGTCTTGTAGCAGGCCTTAGACAGACCCTGTTAACCTTTCTTTGGTATGGAAATTGTGATAAGTGGTATATTGTTTTGTTCACCAAACTTGATGAGACAATTGCCTTTTGTGGTATAAGCTAAGGAAACTGGCTATGAGAGTTTGGACTTTGCCTAAGGTAATGAAATAACTCAGATCAGAATATTTGTAAAGGAATTTACAAATTTTAGAGAAATGGGGGAAATGAAAGGGTTAAATCCCTGACAATCCCTGACTAAAACCTTGCTGTGATTTTTCTTAGCTTCACTTGCATAGTTTTAGTGATTTAGTAGAGACATGTAAATTCTTACCTGACCAGAATTTACAGGCCTTGAGCTAGCTCATTAGGCCTCCGGTGTAAATCACTGATAATAGGAACTCAGGACGACTGTGTCAAGGTAAGTGTTAAAAAACTAGTTAAACTGACCCCCTTGTAATATTCCAGAGTCAAAGGACTGATAAACTAATTCAATGACTATATATGGACAAAGGAAGCCCGAAGTTCAACCAGAGGACAAAGTGAGGAAGACTATGAACGACCACCGGAGGGTGAAAAGACCCTAACCCTAATTTTACTGCGCATGCTTGGGAGCTCATCACCATAAGACTACCCTTTCCAGGAAATCTGATGAATATGTATGATTTTTCTGTACATAACCTGATGTGCTTTGTCAACCCGTGTGTGTCGTCGGTGGAGCAGAGGCTCCCGGGCCACCCAGCACTGTTTTGCTTATTGCCATTTCTTGCCAATTAATAAATTGATCATACACTCAAACCAGTCTCACCGTGATTTGTGAGAGTTACACATAACAGAAATGATGATGACTATGAAATACCAGTTCAACTAGACTGGGGGCTTTCTGAAGGACTTACTTACTCCCTTGAAGAGTATGCCCCGACCATAAGGAAGATCTTCAACTTGGAGAAGACAGAAGATTATTTGTTCCCCACGGAAGGTAAAATTCAAAAACTTCTTGAAGAAGGAATTAAGATGTATTTGCATGGAACTTGGTAAAAGAATTAACAGCGTTTCTCTCTCTTTTCCCTCCTAATGACAGATGTCATCACCACTAGGAGGATAGATATCTTGATAGAAAAATAGCACAGCAAACAAGTTGCCAAAAGCTCAACAGATGCTTGAGAATATCAAGCATCAAGGTCAAGTCTTTTCAAGGACAGAGCTTTTCACAGAAAAGAACAGGTTGTCTTTCAGAGGAACTCGGAGCTCCCAAGATACCGGGATTTTGTCCCGCAGGGGGAAGTAAGCTGAAACGTCTGATAAACAGATCTGATAAACTGGCACAGGAAAGAGGGTGGGCTGGGGCAGCCCCAACAAGTAGCCCTCAGACAGAACTAAGCAAGGTCTGATGCAAGAGGGAAAACCAAAAAGAAATAGAACAAAAAAAAAAAAAAAGGGGGAACAAAAGGAAAAAAAGAAAACCCCAAAACAACCACCTCAGAGCAGCATCAGGGAGAAGCTAGCCCACTTTGCCAAGCACCTTGTATAAGCTCTTTATGCCGATAAAAAGCAGCATTCCTAGCTGACAGACCAGAAAGCTCTTGAACGCAAGGAACCAACACGCACACAAATAGGTGATACAATTAGGTAGTTTAAAAAGCCAAGCTCCAGAGAATTTCTATTGGGATTGGAAAGTGACTGTATTTGTCTTGATACAGCACAGCTCCCTGTCCCCAGTTTCCCATTACATCATTTCCCTTTTCTAACGCACTTAAACATCTGGTAAATGGCCAGCTTCCTAGCTAGTACAGGTTCATATTCAGTCTGCTTTAGAAGTTATTTCCAATATAGGACATTCTTCCATCTTACTTACCAAACAAAACAAAACCCCTCAACTAGAAGTATAAAGACTTCTTTACCAACTTCTTTCTCTCCAACATTCAAAACTTTTTGTCCTTAGAGAGCCTGCCACATCCTCACAGGCACTCCTGACTGCATTTAAGCTACATCGCTTGTACTATCACTAGTGCAATTACCTTTTTAAATCCATGGTGAAATCCTGCTATTGGCCTTTGCTTGTAAAAGCAGTCGCAGTCATGAGCATCCAGGAAAGTATAACTTCATCAAAATCAAGGCTCAAAACTCAGTGGAGTCTCTTTTACTTTGTTTTGGTAGAGGCTTTAGAATAACTTACATTCTAGCATTAAACATTTTACAGCTTTTTTTTTTTTAAATTGTAGAAAAGCACATAAATGAGAGGGTAATGGACAGATTTCAGTGTAATACCAAGCAGCACGGATACAATAATCCTTGAACAGGTATCTCATGTCTACGCACTAACTGCAACAACCTTCCCACTAGAAACGCAGTTGTGGCTAGCCAGGTTTCTACAGTCAAAGACAGTACTGAAAGAGCAAGATCTCAGACTTGGTCAGGCGCAGGCCAGGCAGTTGTGGTTTGTCTACTGCTCCTTGGAGACCTGCTCAAAGCCAAAGTTGCGACCATTCTCTCTGGGAACTGTGCCTGCCCCAACCGATAAAGTCAAGTGAGCAGTGCCTTGTACTGCAAGTCTCCCTTGTGCCGTCGTTCAGAAGACTCAGTTGTGCAGATCAACTCTACCCTGCCTCACTTGTAATCGACGCAAATGAGGCTATAGTAAAATTTCAGTATTTAGCAGATATTTACCCCACCACACACACGCTGGGACAGACCAGCTCAAAGGAATGGGTTAGATGATTTATAAAACCAAAAGGAGGAGCATACTGTCCTTCCAAGTCTTGTAAAGCCGCTAGCAATGTTTGAATCTGGCCTAGTCTTTCATGGGGTTCAGAGCAAACATTTCTCCCCAGTAAAGTTCTGGCATCTCTTCAAGTTTCATAGCCACCCCCACCAACGTATCTTACAGCCATCTTTGCATATTGTCCTTAAAGAAACTTAGGACCAGTAATAGGCCCACGGAGAAATGATTTGCTAGAATGTGAAGAAGTTTGTGTATTTGCCAATTTCCAAAAGAAAAATGAAGTTAGATGGAAAAATACAAAGTCGCCATTTCACACCGAGAAAACTGAAGTTTCTGAACATAAAGCTCATTGGTTCTCACCCAGGGCACCGAGTTGTTACAAGAAATTATCTTTGGTTAGAGTAACGTAAGGTAGAGACTAGAAGCGAATATTAATCATGAATTAAGAATTTCAGTGATATCTCTGGCCACAATTTAGCAAAATTGGGAAGAGGTCCTTGCCAGAAAGATTTGAAAAATACATCAGGTCTGGGCAGATACTTCTCAGTACAGTGAAGTTTATGGCCTCTCTCATATTAACATACACGCACATCCAGTTTATTGTATAGCTATTTACAGATCACCAATCTTTCGAGGCACATCTAGTTTTGTTCTCACACTTATGTAAAGAACACGTCTACATCAACTTGTCAATCATACAGTTGAACAGGGAAGGCACAATCCCATAAATGAGGTGCCCAACTTGGGGTAGCTCTCATTGGCTGGTCCAGGGGTGCTGCCCGGCGAAGGAGACGTCAACCTCCTCTGTCATGACACGAGGACAACTTCACTGACTGTTGCTCATCATCAGGTAAGACTAATTCATTAACGGTGTTGTACCTTGCCTACACAGCAAGTAAGCTTTCCCCTTTTCCCTTTCATTCCTGCCTAGATTGCTCGCATTCTGCTCAGGCTTAATTACATCAATTGTCAACTTTATTATAATAAATATAAGTTGATCAAACTTGGTCCTTAGTCTGTTGCTGTTTTATCGTTCGACAGCTAAAGAACCCTTGCTGTGTGACATGGCCGGGGGGGGGGGAATTAAAAAGATAAAACAATAAGGAAGTACTCCCCAAATTCAAAACACTATCAACAAAGTACAGCGTGGTATCTCTCCAAGATATTTACTGAAAGGTCTATGCCAACATTCAGGTGAGCTTGTTGTTCTGCTCCATTCTAACTGCACAAAGTGACAAAATCTGGTTCACAAACCACCACTTGAAAAAATTCCAACTTAAAAATCCTCTTAAAAAGCTTTCCTCCCCATTCTCAATTTCAGTCATTCCCAACAGCACCTACAATGATCGTGTGTAGAATAGTTCCTGAAGAGTAGTACTTACAATGTCTTAATGCAGCATGTGTTAATCACAGTAACTTTGCTTTTTTTGTTGTTGCTGTTTCTTTTTAATAAAGTGTTCTCTTACATGGTTTACAATTCCAGAAATAGAACTTAAATATGCACAGGACAGTGCAATCCAACTGACACTTTATCTGAATTTCTATTGTATTAAAAACTCTCGGGAACATATAAAGAAACACCTAGAAGCCACATCTTCCAGCAGACTAGGGAATACTCAATTTCAAAATTAAAGCTCTTGGCAAGGAAAAAAAAAATTACCGCTAGATTATTTGGGTATTTCAAGCCTGGCTACAGGGACTTTTCGCTGTCCAGAAAAAAAAATCCTGTCACCTGCATTCTTAAGATCGTGGTGATACAAAGATTAAGTTTCTAAAGTTATAACATACTGAAGTGGAGAAATAGAGGATCCTCTTTCTTCTTTTATTATGCAAATAAAGCTTTCCAAATATTGATCCAGGACTTTATTCATACAATAAAGGGGAAATTTACCCTAGATAGAAGCTCACATTAAAAATGATCCAGCAGATTTTGGGTTGCCTGTAATATCTCAAGCCTTGAACTCCAGAAAAGAACAAGGCCAGAGCATCTGATTAGCAAGTCTGAAATACCTAACTGTTCTGCAAGAACAGTTTCCCACAAGGTTTAAGCTTTGTGAAACGCAAACTCATACCTGAAACCACCTTAATTTAAACAAAGTAGATAAAAAAGCAGGACACCAGCAAAAAACTTGTCTGACCGATAATCAGTCTGAGACAGGTACTATAATCAGAAACAATTATGTACATACCAATTACGTCATGAAGTGCCCACAACCTTGATGTAGGTTAAACAGCTGCTTCTGGACGCACTTAAGATCCCAGAATAGAAGCATATGGAAAATGAAAGTGGTTTTTAGTTTCTGATAAAGTTAAAAATATTACAAACTTTTAGCTTTATTGAAAATTAAATATATTAGCAAAAGCAAGATTTAAGAAATATTTTACAAATGATTTACATACAAGAAAGCCAGTATCAGACATATTCACAAATATGCAAACCTTTAATTACAAAAAGTACCTATTGGCAGCATGATGCTAACCTTGCCACTGCAGTGTGCTCTACTATTGATATGAATAAGGCATAGAACTCACATTTGCACCAACTTAAAAAGTTCAAATAAAACTTTTAAGCTTTTAAATCCGGGATGCACAATCCCCAACACACACACGCGCGCACACTCTAAGATTTCTTCTTCTAAGCTCTATAAACTAAGTGTGTGCTCTGGAAGAACAGCCAGCCTGAAAAGCCCAGTAGAGATGTAACTGGTACTAGCATTTAGTTTTCAGTTTCCTCTTTAACATGTACAGGCCTAGGTATGTAAACCATATTCACAGTTTAAGTGTTTTTAGACAGAAGTACCTTTTTTTTTTTTGCATTTGTTCCTTAAAAATGGCTCTCAGTTCAGCATACAGTTCATGATGTCACCTGTTTTGTGATGCATACATTTACAAGGTAACTTAAAAATCTGTGCCATATTCATGGTCAAGATAATTTCAACAAGAGTAGTAATATCCAACAGTGACATTCAATACTATATTTCAAATATTTGTGCAAACAGCAAAAGAACAGTTGTATGAGGCAAACATTTGCAAAACTAATACCTCCTCAATGTTGTAAACTTGGACTGTCAGCCTTAAGTCCTGCACTTCCCACAGCTTTAAAAAGTCAGTGGCTAAAATTATCAAGTCTCAAAAAGGTTCTCTTCTACATAGTGCAAATTGTAATGTAGATAACGTGAAAAACATATCTAGCTGGATTGACGTTGTGCAATCATCAGTGGTCTTCTCTCATAGTTGAAGAAAGTGTGCATTCAAAGAACCGCATGGTTCAGGAAGTCAGGAAGGTGGGGAGCAGAGAGAAAAAGCAGTTCCATTACACTTCTCAAACCAGCGCTAGATGTGCAAAGGCAGCAAAAATTCCAGCTGCTACTACAACCAGAACAGAGTAACTTTTCAGGAAGACCCAGGCGGTTAGTCACTTGGACTGGTCTCTAGAAAAATATGTGAGTATATGCTGGATTTTTATCAGACGGTCTTTTAAAGACATCATGGAGAGAACTGACAGCTGATATCTGGGGTCTACTGGGAGAACAGCTAGAAGCCACCAACACCAAGCAGGACCATTGGGCATTGCCTAAAAATAAAAGACAAGTTGGTTACCCATAACCAATGTAGTATAGTTGACTAACATGAAGACACCGAAAGACAAAGTCGTCAATGACAAATTAAAGTTTGATACTAACTAGAGAATTCCAGATCCATGAGATCAGAAGGGTTCTGAAGGGATCTCTTCTGATCCCTCCCCAGCTGAGAAGTCAAAGTACACTTAAACTAAGCTTGATAAAGCAATTATTTTTAAGACAACAAAGGAAGCTTACAGCTTGCTTGGGAAAAGATGGCTAAGGCTAGGACAGTCACCTAATAACAAACCTCCCCAATAAAAACTAAATCCATTACCTGTCCTGCTATTCTTGAGGCCTGAATATTCTTGAAGCCTAACATTTTCATTACAATTGTCTTTGTTATATTTGAAGGATTCCTCTATCACCTCCCAATTCCACTCCCTTCTCATTACCTCCTAGACAGAGCAGGACTACTTAATCAGTTTCTTCTAAGTTGATAAAACATACTATGTAACTTCTTCTGTACTTTATTCAATTCTCTGCACCAGCCTTAGATGTCATGCCCAGAACTGGACATAATACTCCTCAGCAGAGGTCCTATCGCTGCAGAGATTAATTACTTCAAATGACTTGCAAAAATATTACTGGTAGTGGTACAGTCCAGGATGACATTTCCTCCCTTGCATCTTTATCACACAGTTGACACATTTGTGTTCTATTATAAATCTCAGGTTCACACCCACAGTATTGCTGCCCTGCTAGTTATCCTGGTTTTGCACACTTATTCCTCTTTTCCAGTATCTTGTTTTAAATCTGTTTTTTTATTAAATTGTTCTAAAATCACTTCTGAATTCATGCACTGGCCTCCACAGCCAGTGGAGTCATCTACAGTCCTCCCAGATCAGTTATTATAGTCTCATAAAAGTACGTAGCAGATGGGTGAGGGACAGGGTCTCATAAGATCCCACTTCATACATAATTCCACTTTGAAAGCCAAATTTTACGTATTTTTAAATGTTACTTTCCTCTAGCCTCCACTCTCTCAGGATCTCACCAACCTTCATTAATTGTTTATAATAACCATTACAATAGATTGCTGCAGTTAGTTTCTTAAGAAACGTTTGTCAAATCCTAGCAGCTGCAGCAGTTTGCGACACTAGCTCAGAAAGGAGGAAAGTGTTATTTGTGATTACCTCTTTGCCAAATCATAGAATCATAGAATCATTAAGGTTGGAAGAGACCTCCAAGATCATCGAGTCCAACCGTCAACCCAACACCACCATGCCCACTAAACCATGTCCCTAAGCGCCTCATCTACCCGTTTTTTAAATACCTCCAGGGATGGTGACTCAACCACTGCCCTGGGCAGCCTGTTCCAATGTTTAACCACTCTTTCAGTAAAGAAATTTTTCCTCACATCCAATCTAAACCTCCCCTGGCGCAACTTGAGGCCATTTCCTCTCGTCCTTTCAGATTACTACTGCACGTGATTCAGATTACTACCTGCACGTGTCACACAGGAGAAAATAAATTTTTTTCCCATTTGAATTCTAACAGCTTTACACAAACCAACAGTTTAAAATGCTACTGGAACTTAAAGTGTTCTCAGTTTACTAGTTTTATCTCCACAGCAGCATATCATCCTTTCCTGCAAAAACCGTTGAACAGTGACAGAACTGCCTTTTGTTGCTCATCATAAGAGAAACAAGATGCAAGCCTTATGCCTTCAAAGTTGGGAAAAAGTTTTTTTTTTCTCTTTTAATGTTTAGCAGTTGTTAACAGGGTTTTTATTTTTAGAAATAAGCACCTAATAATTGATATGGAATGATGTCTTACCTGTATATTTTCCTCCCTGCCAGGCATTGGTCCGAAGTGCTGAAGAATTTGAGTGCGAAATTTGTTTCTTAAGTTTTGGAACCAACTGCAGGCCTGATTGTAAACAAAATTGTGAAGTTCTCTCAGTTTCTTTAGTTCTTCTTCATCAGCAACCTATAGGAGGAATGTTATGAAAATATCATTAGAGATAAACAATTAAGGTGTTTAAGCTAAAAATCAAAAAACATTCAATTTCAACTGTATTTAGATACATTTCTTGCATTCTCCTAAACCTTGATTGCTAATGACTGAATAGTAAAGAAGTCCTGTGGTATTTTAAAAAATTACAGCTTCAAACTATTGTTCAAACAAAAAACACAGTATTTCTTTGTTGCTTTATAATAATAAAAAATTAAGCTAGCTTCCATTTCTTCCACGTGTTGGCACTGAATCTTCCAGTGGTATAGGGACCTAAAAATTTGAAACAGAGCTCTCAAGAACAAATCAAGCAAAAATCTTGAGCTATTAATACTATCAAGTATTTATACAGCATTCCGGATACCTTAACATCTTCCAAATATTCGATGTCTGCAGTGCAATAACCATCTTTCATCCCTCTCCGTAAAACTCTAAATCTCTTTCCACCAACTGTATCGACAACAGACCGTCCATCAGGTAGAAAATGAACGTTCCTTATTTGCAGCATGCATCCATAATCTGCAAAACTAGAAAAGAAACCTTGCCAGTAATGCAATTACACACTTCTGAAAGGATACTTTTTATAATTAAAAAAAGGCGTAAGAGATGAGAAGCTTAGAATTAGGCTGTAAACCTACCCATTTTGAGAATCACTTATACACATCCCAAACTGTTTAGTCCCAGTTTCCATACTTCTGCGAATCATTAGTCGGTATCTTGGCTCAAACACATGTAGAGGGCAAGGCACAGTAGGATATGCCATAGTGCAAACAAACATTGGAACATTCTTGGTCAAGCTTCAAGAGAACATCAAAAGAAATATGTGGCTTAAAAAAAAATCTAATCACTGAACTATGCCAAGACAATACATTTTTTTTCAGTATGTTTGCTATATTTGAGGTCATAAAGCACTCTTTTCAAAGTTTAATAATAAGCACATTGTAATAACTTTCATAAACAATAAAACCACATACTAGTAACAGTGACTGAATACCTATGTACTGATTTGAATACATACTGGACAGTAAACCTCACAGTTACCCAGTTAGTAGTATCTAGTGAGTGAATGAAGGGCTTTGTTTTGGGGACAGGGGTGTTATTTTTTTCCTTTTTGTTTTAGTTTGAGCCATACAAGCCATTACGCCCTCAGAGTCACAGTTTTCCTGGAACTAAAAAGATGTAGCAGTAACTACAGAGTGGCTAGGTCACTGTTTAGATTGCTTTCAGTGATGGACTCCAGATCACAAGATGCAACCCAGGGTATAATTTTCACCTTGCAATATGCCTCAGCAGGCCTAATTGAAAAACAAAATATTTTTTCCATGCTATTTTATCGAGTATGTACAGTTGATACAAACGAGTTAGCATTAAAACATTACCAGGTATTTAATTTTAATACCTTTCAGACTATAAAACATAATTCTAATGTATGGATTCTGTTACATAAGTTGCATGAGCTATAGTTTTAAAAAGTTTTCCGACGTTCATAGCTACAATACATGACACTTTATATATCTGAAGAACTCTACTAGAGATAAACATCAAGATTACAAAAAAATCCCAACAATTTCTTTTCATCACATCTATCTTTATGCAATTAATGTCTATCATGAACTGCTTTGAAAGAAATTCAGGTATCTGAGACTCTGCAGCCAACTCAAGAGGACAGTTCCATTAACAGCAGCTAAGCTAAAACTGAAGCTCCACGACAGTGCACACAGAAAGAGAAACAGAAGGGCAAGCATATTTTGTAGAGGACTTAAGAGCCTCACGTTGTTACTATCAAAGTGTGATTTTTTTATTTCCATAGTAGTGAAAAAACTGTTAATTTTCTGAAATACACATTTAAGACACCAAATTAACATGTCTTTATACTCCTTCTTGCATCCATAATACGCCATTATTAATAATCACAAAAATGATAAAACATTTCTAAAAAGGATTTCCATACTAATCTCTCAAGTTTTCTAGATAAAAGACAGCAAGCTTACTTTGAGTGTTCAGCTGTTTCTTCAGCATGAATTCTTTTTCTCTCATATAATTCATCAGACAAATATTTCACTATTAATTCCTCCAGCAGTTCTGTGATGCTGTATTTTCTGCTTGCAAGGTACTGTAAGCAATTTAAAAAAAAAATTAATATTTCTTTTCATATATATTAACAAAAGACTTGAGAAAGTGCAGCTTTTCTTTAAAACCATGATATATGAAATGTGTAATGAATTAGATGTAAACCCATGAAAACTTACAGCTCTGAAGTTCTTATGTTTCATTACTTAACACCTAATGTTACTCTACTATTTGGAAATGAGATTCTCTTTTATTTCTTAGTGTCTGACAACTTAAGTGTCTAACTCAGTTTGTATTTCTCTGCTTACCAGAGACGGAATTGATTTCCCAGGTTATACAGCCATACAAATAAGGAAAGCATACAGAAATCAGAGGTTTTACTGAATAGTTACCAAAGTTTACAAACACTCAGAATTTAATTACACCAATAAAGTAGATGGTCACAGAAACATAAAACCCCTAAGACCCTGAGGCAAACCTAATCAACTAGTACTGACAAAGTTTGTCTCAAGTTTTTCCTTTCTAGCAGCAATCCATAACCCAAGTGAATCCAAGTTGTTGGGTTTAAGTAAAACAGCCTTTAAGATGACACAATATTTGTATTAGTGAGCTCTACTGAGAGACAGTACCTCTTTCAAACTCTCCTTACAGAGTGGACACTGAGGAGCATGGTCTAAACACCGTTCCAAGCAACCTTTGCAAAACGTATGTCCACAAGGGGTTGTCACTGGCTCAAAGAATAGCCTGAAACAAAGTTATTAAAAGTTAGATACCACGGCAAGTGTGTGTTTTGCTAAAAAAGTCAGTGATCAACCTCTTTAATTTTTAAGACTAGTTATACTGTAGCAAAGCAGAGAAAATTAATCCCATGTCTCCTTATTCTACTTTTTCCCTCTATACTGCAGTTTGTTTCCATTTACTACCGCACCACTCATTTTTTGTATTTTCTGATGAATCTGGAGACATTTCAACACTCCAAATATCTGAACATTTATCCCAACGTACAAAGATTTTGGTCTCACTACATAGAGATTCAGAATACGCAAAATGAAGCGATTCTTTGAGGAGCTACATTGTTTTAATAGCAGTATTACATACTGGTAACATAACTATGGACAGTTTAGTATACGTCATGTGTTTTAAGGTATTTATTCTGACAACCAAGACGACTCAGTAAGAGCTTTCAAATACATCAGCTACATTAAAGTAGACTAACGTTCTGAAGTATCTACATCTAGTAGACAAATATGAGGTTCACAGACAATACTTCTAAGCATTAGCCTTCCCAAAATAATAAGTTAAATAGTTTTATTGACTGAAAAAAGCCCTAACATTTAACCACAAAAGATCCTATCCTTTTTAGGTTATCAGTTAACAACGCAAAGTTTAATTTAAAAGGCAGCTTGACTAAAATAATGCTGTATTATATAGCACTATAGCAAGTGACATTTAAATAAGCATTTAACTGCAGGGATAGAGGAAGGCTGAAAATTATCGACTGATATCAGAACTCATCACAACCTATAAGTACCTCAGTTTGTATGTGTAACAGATATGTGGCCAAGCATCTATAACACAAATATTGCATCAAGGAGGAAATCTTACCTCATACATAGAGAGCACTCAAAATCTGATACATCAATCAAATCCCCTGGAATTGTTCCAAAAGCCAGTGTCACATCCCTTTTTGTACTTCCTAAGGAAAAGCAAGACAAAATACTCCTTCAGAGAAAGGCACAGGACAGTCAATACTTCAAATTTCAAAGTAAGTGACTTTTTACCTCCTTGCTTTTTGTGTTTGTTTCTTCCATCTTCAGATACAACTGTATCCTGTTCTGAAAAGGAAAGCTTTCTTTTCAACAAAGCACCTTTTTCTTGGCCAGAGAGAAGGGGTTCAGAAGACACTCTCTTTAAGCCATCTTCCTTGGCAAGGTCTTTTGTTGAGTTAAGAGCATGGGCAGACTGTGCACGATTTAAGCTTCCACTGACAGGCTCCAGTACCTCTGATCCTCCTAAACTCTACAATAGTAAGATGAACTGAACTGTACTTAAAGAGGAACACAAATCTAAGTACATAAGATGTGAACATGCAAAGATAAATAAGCCAAACTGATACCCACAGTTAGTTCATTAGTTAACTAAAGGAATTTGATAGGTCAAGACAGTGTTCAAATCTGCTTAGCGTTAACAATTTAAAAATCTTCATCTGCTTCAAAGAAGAAAAAAATGTATTTCTCTGTATTTTGCAGTCACTAATACCAAATCTCAGTACCTTCTAATATGTAGTTCACTGGAATAAGGAGTCTAACACTCCAAATGAAAATACGTTACTCCCAAATCACAGTTCTTTTCTTCCAATTTAGCCAATTACAGAAAGTGAGTTTTTAGGCTGGAAAATAGGTAAGACAAATAAAGATATCGGGACATCTGATGTTTGCGTATCAGCCAAAGAGAAAAGTTATCCTATAGTTTTTGTTACCTGCTCAGGACAAAGCTGTAAGTTGCAGTAAGACTCAGTCACCTCAGAACCAAGTATCAAAGGTTTATTTCGAATATGTGGTGAATTCCAAGCAGGTTCCTTCAGACTCTCTCCTAACTTCTCTGGTGACAGCACATCACACAATGTCTAGAAAACAAACAGCTAAATGTTCATAACAATAATAAAGATATGTCTAGATGCTTTTTCATAAAACTACATACCAGAAATAAGAATTTAATCTATATGAAGTTATCCTCATAAACAGAGCTTTATTTAAGAAGTAACTGAGAAAGAACAGTTAAGAACAAGCAGAAACCTACATAACTATATTGCTAAAAAGAAATTTTCTAGAAATCTTTTCTACTACAAGTGAGCTCTTCGAACATAGTTAGACATTATCAATTCATTATCATGCAGCTTTTTCAATGTAAATTTTTATTATCAAAGAAAAACTGTTGTGCGCTGGGCATGAAAGAGCAACTTAGAATATTTAACTTGCTGCCTGCTTTCCAGTTTTCTAGATTTTCATTTAGTAACTTCAAAAGCATATGTACTTTGAAACATGTACTTAAAACTTGTACATTAGGACTCTCTTCAACACAGTATGATATATCTTGAAAGGAACCAATCTGCCACCTGAACCTTCTCTGTATGTATTTAAGATTTTTAGATGCTCAAAGTCTACCATAATGGGAGCTTTATAAAGGAACCAAGTCAGAGATAGTAATCCAGTTTCATAAATAAAATTACCCTTTCCACTTCTAGCTTGGCTGGAAGAAAGTCCTCATCAAGGGCTAAGCACTGTAGAAACAGTTGTAAGGCATCACCTACAAAGCCAGAGTCTTGCAGCACTTTTCCTTTCCGGAAGTAGACCTGAAAAACAGATATCATGAAGACATTTCTAGAGAGCACGTAGAACTGCAGTATTCATCTTACAGGCATTACAACAGAGTTAGAATTAGAACCCTCCATGACAAAAAGAATGTAGTTCTTCAACAAACTTCAGCTGTGCACAGCGTGGATGATCTATATGCCTTGTCTAACATACATCCCCTACAGTGTTTGAAAAAAGTCATGGGATAGGCTGGTGTTAGTCTCCTTCCAGTTAATTTGTTTTGGCTTACATGAAGGGGTTAAAAACCTGACTAGTGCTGAATTCACAAAAACCCTTAACTTCCCCTTTCTGTGAGCCTTTGGAGGGGAAGAAGGGGGACGTCCAGTACAAATTATTACATAACCTCATACAACAGTTTACAGGATACCCTTTTTGCCCTCTGTTTCATTAAAAGCCTTACAGTTCCAGCCTGCAGGAGAAGGGTAACTACAAAGAAAACAATCCACACAACCATGCATCCCTTACATACATCTTAATCTATATTCTTAACACAGAACAATGCACTTTTGGAATTGCTTCCTCCAACTATATTTTATCCTTGAATGCTGGACAGCAGCTAGGAAAAAAAAATAAAAACCTCTAAAAAAAGGGGAGAAAAGACTACTGAATTTTGCTGAACCTACCTATATGACATTGGAACTAAAGAATTCCTTATCCAACTTATCTCAATTTTAAAAAGTTGCATTTGCAGTAATATAAATACAAGTTAGATAAAAACAACAGTTATCTAAAAAAAGTTAGATAAAACAACAACAACATCGAGATTTCGGATAATGAGCCAGACAACTGAATTTAAAAACAAAAAACAAACCAGAAAACCCCAGAGAGCAGTTTCTACGGAACGATTGCCAGTATTAACAGTAGAGTCTGTTAAACAAGGCTGTCAGATGAGGGCATGCATCATCTTTGATGGATTTGGGCAATTTCATTAAGATGTATCCTGAAGAAGGAAAGTATGCTAATCCTCCTCTTACAGACAGTTTATTTTCCTACAGAGATAAGAATTGTTAGAGGAATCCATCAAACCAAGTTCAGTTAAGTGAAGTGAGGTTTCTTTCCAAACACGTAGAAAAACGTAGACGGTGCTACCAATGCTGAGAGGTAAAAAGTAGGATGCTCTCTGAATTTGCAGTAGCCATGGAACTGCTGAACACAGGAGAGACCAAGACAGCAGCAGGTATCTCCCCTTGTGGGGCAAGATCTTGCTGCTCCTGCTGTGCTCAGTTTAGACAGTGCTGCAGTATGCAGTATCTTACAGTTCTGAAGGCCAGTGACTGCCCAGCTGCCTGCACTATTTGCAAAGCTCAGTTCCCACTGAGTTTCTCTGGGCTTTTCGAAGAACAGCTTTCCAAGCTAAAACAGCAAAGTGTCCTTCTCTTAATACAAATTAACAAATAAACAAAACGGACGCCAAACCCCAGCTGTTACAGGTTACATCACCATAAACTATCCCAACTCCAAGTACTGGAGCCACTAAAAACGGCCCCAAACACATGCTTACATTTTTTAGCCAACACTATTGCAAAAGAACTTATTGCTTGTGCTAAGTATTTTTTGACTCTTTGGTAGCATTTGGAAACAAAAACTGCGTTGTCCTATTTATATAGCAAACTGTTTTACCAATACTCAAAAACTATGAGAGAAATGTTGCCTTAACATAGAGCCAAGAATTCTTGTCCCGATGGCAACAGTGCTCACTAATCTCATGTGATATTCTCAAGGAACAGATAATGCTTAAAATGCTCCGACTTTGGGAAATAAAATCAAAGTATAAACACTTCAGGGAAGTGCAGAACTTTAAAAGGACTAACTTGTACATAGCATAAGAAATTTTAAAACTCAATTACATCAACCTACCAAACGTACAGGCCTCAGAAGTTCTGCTTTCAAGCAATTAAAGCTGGCTGCACAATTTCAGCCAACCATCCAGTCAAATAACATTAAGCTGAAGTTAAGTTTGTAAATATTTAATAACACATAATTGTGTTCTTATAAAGAAATAAAATAATAACTACAGACAGCACAAAAGCACTTCACAGTTCTTCCCAAGAAGTCAGTTCTACTGCACTTAACCTTTCATCCAAAGACACCATCTCATGTTGTGATATGAAATAAAAATACCTGAAGTTTTTGATGAAGGCTAAATTAACAGTTCCAAGTAGATTCATCAATCAACTCTAACCTGCCATACTCATAGAGTACAGTAGCCTGTCTCATATAAGTAACTATTTTAAGATACCTTTTAGCATTTTGCATGTCTTACAAGATAACATTTAAGGTCGCTGACCCAGGTTCTTGATGTAAGTATAATTTAGAATTAATTAATTTTACAGATAAACACAGATTTTGAAAAATGAAGAGTTCATATCAACTTACCTCTGGCCAATTTGGCATTTTAGAAATAACAAAATTTAGATCTTCTATGGCTGTTTTATATTCTTGGAGGCCAACATATGACTCAGCTCTGTAAATTCTTAGCATCAAGTCACTGGAATCTGAAGACAAAAATTAAGTAACATTTTTAATAACTCAGAAATTTGTATTTTTTAATTAGGTATGCTTTCATAGTGATATGTCATAACCACACTTTTTTGTGCCATACTTTCAAAATTGCTGGAGTACCTTCTCCCCCAAGTAGTTTGGTAATAAAAGTGGCAGTAATTCCAGGCTCATGTCTTTCAAGCTAAAGATAAAATTTTGTACCCTCTAATGTATCTTGAAGCAACCGGAAAATATGTTTTAAAAGATCTAACACTGAGGCTGACAGAATAAAGTATTGCTCAGTACTGCTGTGACAACAAAAATGGAGGACTAAGTAGGCTTTAGCTTTACAGTACACCCATTCGAAACCACAGAAATCTGGGAATTCACCGCACTTGTATTAAAAAAATCTAAGTATTACAAAGTTTGCTTTCAAACGTTCAAGTTTTTCTTTAGACTGTCATTTGTTTTTATAATGTCCAACCCCTTCCAATTATGGCTGGAGATACAGATGCCACTTTCACAATGGTATCCGTCTGGTAAGTACCAGAGGTAGGCTTTATCACTATGTGGTCCGAAACGAGACAGCCAATACCAGAAAGCCTTTAACACCAGCTGGCAGCCCTGTTGTAAGGAGTGGTGCTAGTGGAACTTCTCACATTAGTATGTGTTCAGTAAAGACAATTTCTCATGTCCAACATACAGCATTTTGTACTTTTAGTAGAACAATCTCTAAATGGGAAGCACACCCATCTCCATGCCACTAAAACTATGGTTTTCATAACACAACTAACTGTAGCTGTTGCTTGGAAAAAATGCCAGCACACTGCTTTGTTCTTGATTTTTTTTTTTTTAATACACATCTGTGTTTTTAATTGAATGAGATAAACAAGTCAAACATAGGTCTACTGTAAACAATACTAAAATTAAATAGTTCTTTAAGTTTGTTTCAACAAGATTTTCTTGGGAGGGGATCATTTCAATTTGATATTCTCTCTTAATCTATTTGAAATGCCTGGTTTAAATTTTAATAATTTCCAACATTAGCTTGTTTTACATGTAAAAGCCAGACCAGTCAATGTTCCCATGTATTCCAACATATTGCTTTGTAATTAGATACACAATGCTACATATAAAAAGGCCTTAATGGCAAAGAAAGAGTTAAGAAAATCAAAACTGACAGAAGATTTCACAGCTGAAAGGAAAGTGGTGTCTTTCAAGCTGACAGTTTCCCTTCAAATACAAATATTCCCAGTCCTGGTTTGTTTGGGTTTTATTTTATTTTAGACATAATAAAATGTTTGTATTAACGGAAGTCTGGGAAATTGTCTAATTTAAACAGGTAATTCTGCAGGCAGAAGAACTGAAGCCTGCTTTCCTGTGGCTTTGTGTTTTGTGACTTAGAGCCTAGTTAAGCCGGAGCTCAGATCAAACTCTTCAGACGGTTTTTTTCTGCTGTATTTGACTCTTTGGTGTCCAGCAGAGTTAGTATCAAACCAAATTCTTTTCTTTCGAGGTAGCAGTAAGTGCAGGTCTTTGTTCGCTGATAAACTGCCTACTTGCACATAGTCAGAGGGAGCTCATCTTTTTCAGACTTTCAAGTGTAGAAGATAACCTGAGGAACTCCCGAGCCTTCCTTTCTGGGGAGAGGGTGAGGGGTAGTTTGAAGATGAAAATGTGAGTTCAAGTCTACAGCAGGTGGACGTTTTGTCCATTTCTTTTTCAAAGAGGAAAGCATGGTTCCAATTGAACTGGTACAAAACAGAAGGCTAAATCAAGGAACTGGAACCCCAACTCTGCTGCTGAACACACATAAACGCTGCCAATGAATGATCAATACATAAAACAAATTGGGTCTAAACATTTGCAAGACCAAAAGAGCTAAATTTATATGTCCAGTTTTGCAACCATAATTTATTTTCTAGGCTTTGTAATTGTGAAAACATTGGTTTGCAATGTTTCAGCATATATTTTAATGTTTGCCACCTAAAGGGAGGATGCAAAACTATTTCAAGTTCTTACACCAAAGACTAAACAGAGCAGAAACACAACTTGTGCTTGAATTTTCAATTTCAGTAACCCAGTACATTGTAAATACAGAAATCACTCACTTCTAGCATACCCAAAGACAAATGGTTTTAATAAAAAAGACACCAAGTACTTTCAGTGCAGAACTGTGCATACCAGTTATTATTACATTAATAGGAAAGTATACAAAGGTGTACACACAAAAACCCACTCATTATGAGTTCTTTTTTTATACTAATTCCAAAGCATCTGCTCCTGGCTACTGTCAGCATAAGCATACCAATAAATGGACCATCTCTGGTCTGATCCTGCATGCTTTTTATATGGTTCTTAAAAATACACCAAATTCTTCAAAATAAGACATGGACATCACAACCACTATGCAGAAAAACTTTAGGACACAGTATTTATTAATACAGTACTATAAGGTCACCCCAATGATCAGGGGTTGGAACACACAACCCATGAGAAGAGGCTGAGAGAACTGAGCTTGTTTAGTGGAAAACGATTCCCGAAGGCCTTGGGAGAACCCAACAGCCTTCCAGAATCCAAGAGGAGGCTACCTAGAAGACTCTTTACTGAAGTGCATGGGGAGAAAACAAGAGACAATGGTTATAAACTGAAACAAGGGCAGTTCTGACTTGAAATGAGGAGAACATGTTTTCACTATGAGGAAAACTAACCTTTGAGCAGGTTGCCTAAGAGAGGCTGTGGAATCTTCATCCTTGTAGGTTTTTACAATCCAGCTGGACAAAACCTTAAGTGAACTGCTCCCAACTCAGTGTTTATTCCGCTTTGAACAGGAGACTGACTGGTCAACAGACCACCTGAGGCAGACCAAACTCAAGCCTATTAGCTGTGTGTTTCAGGATACTTGATTAAAGACAAGCTGCACTTGGACTTTAATGCAATAGACTTCCTTTAAGTAAACTATTTCAGTTCAACCCCTGCAAGGAATATATTAGCCATATGAATGTTAACAATCCTCATGTTTTTCAAAAGTCACTTTTGCACCATGGCAAATATTTCTCTTTCAGATGTTTCAAGAAATGTAAGAAAGTTATGAAAAGATGCCATTTGAGTAAAGGTTTAGTGCCAATGCCTTATTTAGGACATCAGATTTATGTTTATCACAATTTTTTAACTCTCGCATTAAAAAGAAACAGAGATGAGCTAGCAGTGAACTGCAGTGAACAGTCTCTGAACTGAAACAGAACATGAATGATTTTAAACATGAATACGTTTCTTATGCTACATCTTTTCCACCTCTAAGTGTTTTTAAGAATTCATGTTCTGGAGGAAGATAGAAAGTGTACCAGCAGCTATTAATTAGTTCTCTATTGGCCTGAAATCACCTTCAATTTGCAGTTGTGAGCCCACAGCTCTAAATTGACATTTAATGTACGTCTGCATTCCGATTCATGAAGTTCTTTAGTATCTTTACCAGAATACTTGGAATATTGATAGTTCTCAGGACTGGAGACACAGGAAATAGTTGTACAAAGGATCTTAAACTGAGCTTCTAGCCCTTAATTCTAGCACATGTACTGAATTTGAATAATAAAATTGTGGATAAGCATCACAGCTGACAACTATTCTCAAATTTTAAAGCCATTTTAAAGCCAAAATTTAAGATGTAGCTTCACGAAAAAAGGAATCAAAATTCTTTCCCCACAGACATCTAAATGGTATTGCTAAATCCATAAAAGAAACATTAACTGGAGTCTGTAGAATTAATTTTCTCTTTCATTCTTTCAAAACAATCTTGAAACATGAAACAGGACCCCTGTAAACATTTGTGATCAATAGTGGATTCATCAGTTTGTACCCTGAAGGCCACCGAGTTTTGACTCCATTTCTTTGTGACTTGTATGAGTCAATGCTGTCTTTCAGAACATACAAAGAAAAAAAGTCTGCTTCTTACAGTTCCAAGATTTAAAATAGATCAGTCACTTTCTTAGGTCACATCTATCCCATACCCTACATTTTGGAAACACCCTGGCAAATAACGTAGAATTGAAGGCCACAACTGAACCTCTTTAAATTAGGTTTCCAAAACGCATATAAAATATATCTGAGATTTAATCCCACCTACATTGAAAACAGTTTATTCTGGAACTAGATCTAACGTATCTCCCCCGAACGGATTGGAAGGATTCGACTTATACAAGCTTTTTTTTTTTCCCTCCGCTACAGACAACTGTACAAACGTAATACACTTAATCTGTGAAAGTATTAATTCCTAAATTTCTGAACAGCAGTAAAATGGCACAAATGAAAATGGAACCCCACAGGTCACCAGGTGTTAAAATCCATACTCGAATAAAAACAACAAAGGAATCTGTCACTGGATCCATCTAGGTATATCAATCACACAAATTTGAGTCCCTTTACAAAGACTAAACTCTGAAAAACTGACCGTATCTCCAGTGTTCATGGTACCAGACATATTGCTTGCGGTCGATATAGGATAGTCTAAAAGCGTGCCTCTACCTCCCGTCTTTGCACCCTCTCTCAACACTATATTATAAAACTTCAACCACACCCACCTATGATGTCACTGCCATTACACAACCTGTCCCCCTCCATGCCTGTCTGCTTATGCAACTGGGCCCGGCCTGCGGGGAATTATCTTGGTGACACTTAAGACTGTGAAAATAGGTCTCTCTCAGGAAACAAGGTTAAATAACAGCAACAGAATTTCTCTTGTCCGTGCACAGCGATTACTAAATACAAAACAAAACAAAGCCCACAAACTCTTCCGTGAACGAGTCCCACGAAAGCATGTGGGGGAAAAAAAAAAAAAAACCCACAAAACAAAAAAAGACGTGAAGAAGCCCAAGCTGGACGCTCCTCCGCGCCTCCGAAGCGTACCCCTCTACCAGGCTGGACGCTCAACTGAGGTCCGAACAGCTACGCGTCCCGTAATCGGTCCCTCCGCTCCACCAGACTACGGGGGGGCTCCTTGAACTCTCTCGGCAAACTCGAGAAAACTTCGGATGTTCTGTATCGGTCCATTTCGACCACCGACGGCCTCAGCAGTAGGGGAAGGGGGGCTGAAGGGCAGGAAGGAACCGCACACGCCCACCCGCTCCGCCACACTTCCAGCCCCCCGAGCCTGCCGTGCTTTGCTACCGGCTCCCCCCGCCCCCCCCCGGGGGCGGGGCGGGG